ATGTGGCGGTTGTAAGAAATTCGAGTTTGCAATAATATAAATATTGCAATTCTTTTAACTCTTCTTTTGGTTTTATTATAATATTAAAAGAAGTTGCATCCTCGATAAATGATATAGATTTCTATTTTGTTAAGTGATCTGTAAAAATCGTGCTGCTCACATTGTTGCTAAAGAAACTGTTTATGTGTCAGATTGTGAAGAGTGGTTTGATAATCTTCCTCAATATCTTGTTGTTTATCTTCATTTTGATTTAATACATTAAGTTCTTTCCCTCTCAAAAAGAAAAAAAAAAAAAAGAATTGGATAGAAATATAATACGAAATATAAGATTATCACACCGCCTTAAGGCATTCACAATAGTGAATTTTGGAATGTTTTAAGCATATTTCTTGCAAAGTCTTGGTTTTAATCATACTTGTAGCATCCACCAAGAAAAAAAAAAAAAAAGAAGCCACGCCCTAATTGCGTGAAGCGCAACCACAACGCCCTAAGCTGAAGCTTTTTTTTTTTTTTTTTTTTTTTTTTTTTTTTTTTTCAATTTTGTTTTGCTTTTTTTTTTCCTTTCCATTTTCCCTTCCCTTCCATCTTCTTTTTCCTAATCACGCTTGCAAAAAATTCTTCAAAATCTATGCTTATTGGGGATGCTCTATGAAAGCATTGTTTCTTGTGAACCTATAATCGTGTTAATAATAAGAAATTTTGAAATTGGTGGTGGAGTGTGTGACATATAAGTTTTATATTAAAATATTTTGTTAACACACTTTCAGTTAAGTCCATTGCATATGATGTACGAAGTTTTTCTCATGTATGCTTTGTGTGTTTTGTGTGGTTTGCCAGCTAGCATATCACAATCACCACGCGAGAGTGTGCATTGGGTAAACTACGGTCATGTATAATAGTTCGCAAACAACATATGAAATGTAAATCTCACTAAGAAAACATTGTATGATGAGCTCGACCAAACTAGCTAATCACAATCACTACGTAAGGGTGCTCACAAACCAGGAATAGTATATCACATTAAGAAGACCTTGTGCAAATGGCTCAAATAACTAATAGTCTGTTTGAAAACCCGAAAAATGAGGGCAAAATTTCGAAAAATGACTTCCCCTTTTTTTGGGGGAAGTTATTTTCCATCTTCACGCTACTTCGCAAGAATACTCCAGACTTCACGCTACTTCATATTCCATCTTCACGCGCCTCTGGTTTCCGATGCGATCAGTGAACTCGTATCGCATCGGAAACCAAGTGCTGGTTTCCGATGGGAAACCAGAGAACTGGTTTCCGATCGGAAACCAAGTACTGGTTTCCGCAGAAACCAAGTTCACTGGTTTCTGCGAAAACTAGTGAATTGGTTTCGCACCAGTTCACCTGTTTTCGCAGAAACCAGTGTACTGTTATGCTTGTTGTGTAAATTTTATGCTTGTTGCGTAAATTTTATTGATATTAATGCGGTGAATTGGAATTTTGTGGACAAAATTTTATTGGTAAATTTTATGCTGTTCGTTTTCATGTTCATTTTCTGAAAAATGAACCAAACACCAAAAGACAGTTTTCTATTGCGCAGCCAAACACCGGAAAGGAAAATGTTTTCTGAAAAATGACTCATTTTTCAGAAGTCATTTTCCTACTTTCCAAATGGACCTTAAAAGAATATTTGATGTTAAAAGTTAAACTTTATAGGTGACGAGAAATGTTTGCACCTAAAATGATATATGCCACATACTTGATCAAGAGGATATTTACAAAATTCAAATTCATGATTTTTGTAGGAGACAAAGAATTATAAGTCATAGACTCGTAGTTATATATAGTATTTGATAAAATTATATTTTATTACTTGACAAAGTACATTCCCCGTATACAACTTCAATTTTTTTGAGGAGACGTATACAACTTCATTAAATTAAACATATAGTAATATAAAAAGTTCTATATATTGTATTAAAAAATCTCAGTATCCTCATAATATTGTAAAATTTAATTCATATAATTTCTTTCATGCAAATTAAAAACCCTAATTCGACCGTGATTTCATCCCGCTTTTCGCCGGAACAGTTTGCGCCGCCGCCCCATAGATTTCGTCGAGGGATCTAAACTTCGGATTTCTGCGGGGAAGAGCTTCCATTTTTGCTTCTTCCGAACTCTCCTCCAAATCGATAATAATAATATTTTTATTTTTATTATTATTATCGTTGAAATTATCGTTATTCAATGTTATATTTCTTTTCTCTTTCCCTTCTTTTTTCTCAATCTTTTTCGTTCTTCTGGCGGCCTTGCCCTTTCTTCTATCTATTTTTTGATCATATATTATATATACAAAATTATATAATAATTAATCATGTACCCACAATTGAATATATATGGACCAAATACAATTTTTGTATGTATAGAGTAAATGTCTAAAATGGTCCTAAATTATAATGGTTTTTCTGATTTTGGTGACCAATGTAGTACCAGACTTTTGTGTTTTTGCTGAACATAGTCTTATGATTGTTATTTCGTTCAATATTTGACTCTCATAAGGAGAAATTCTTATTTGATAATTACAATATTTGCTTCTCATAAGGAGAAATACCTCTATCTAGGGTTCATTCAATGGCTAACGGAAAAAATGGTATTAGGAATTTTGCAGCTCTCTCTACTCGTACAAGAAAGATGGATTACATAGATATATAATGAGTGGCAAATATTGCAATTATTATATTATCTTTTTATTTAACACTAATTGAATGAAATAACAAACGGATGACTATATTTAGAAATAACATGCATAAAAGTGTAAGAATACATTGGGATGATCACCAAAATCGTTTAACACTAAATTTAAAAAAATCAATATAATTGTGAACCATTTTGGGTATTAACTTGTATATATGAATAAATACATGTGTATATGTATTGGTTGTGGAAATATTAACCTTGAAGGGAGCGAAGATTAAGGAAAAAAAGACAACAAAACATGAAATTTAGGGACAGAAAATCAGAAACTTAACGACAACTTAACAAAAATGTGTCTTACTTTTTAACTTATATCGATCGAAATATCAGTGTATCACAATATAAATATATGTATATAGACACATAGGCTCAGATTTAGAGATAGTAGGATTGTTGTTGCCATGATAGTTAATAATTTTAGGGTTTAAAAGAGAAAAATAAATTGAAAAACTATTTTGGATGAAACTAATAAAATTAACCGATTAAGTATGGTTTAGGCTTCTACTTACAATGGCGTTTGGCGGGAGTGGTTTTGACGATCTGCAGAGGTTTGGTGGACTGGTAAACGTCGGCAATGGAGCGATACTTTTTGAACTTTCGAGGCGGATAATCGGAGTCGCCGCCTTCGTCGTCGGCTTCACCTTCGCCGGAATTATCTCCGATGATGATTACAGCGGCGGCGGCGGGGGAAGATTTCGCGGCCACGACGCACTTTCCGGCGGCCGAATTGCCATTTCCGCCGCCAGAGCCGCCAATTAACTGCATAGACTTTTCCATGGCAGAGAGAGAGAGAGAGAGAGGTTGGGGCTTTTGTGTTTGAGCTAACGGCTTGGGTAGTGGGCATATATGGATGGGGAAATTAGGAATGGTATGTATATATGTAATTATGGATTAAGATATTCTGACGTAATTACATAAATAAAATCATTTAAATTAGGTAAGTTTTACTTAAAAGCTATAGAAGACCATGATTTGATTCCTGTTTTGAAATTCAAATGAGATCTCATGCAAAGAATTATGTTTCACTGCTCGACCAACGTACTACTTCTTTTGAAATATTCTTTCAATAGATTGAACCTCAATCCTAAGAGCCCAACACCCCAACCGAACAGAGTATTTAAGAAGATGTAAATCATGATAATTCAACTGAACATGAATCACAGAAACTAGACTTTTGCTTACTACGCACAAGGAACCCTCACTTTAAGAGTATGAGAAAAGTTTAATTCTAGTTTTGAGAATTAGTTAGTGATGAAAATTGTTTTTTTTAATGCATTTTTCAAATCAAATTCTTCCTTATTTTTTAACATTTGAAATGTAATTAAATTCGAGAGAGTTAATTTCATTTTTATCCTAAATTTATAGCTGGCAAGTCATTTTAAGTCTTTTTTTTATCCAAACATCCACTTTTGTTTACAGTATTATTGTGACGTGATTATTTTTTTTTTATCCTTTATCAATAAAAACCATTTAAATATCGTTAAATACAACAGCATTTTGATCTTTAGGAATGTTTTTTTTTTTTCAAAAAATAACCATAAAAAATATAACGATTCAACATACTTTGTATAAAAAAAAAAATTGAAATGTCTTTATATTTAACGACATTTCAACAATTTTATTGATGGAAGACTAAAAATAGTTATGCCACAATAATACTATGACCAAATAAGGATGTCATAAAAAAAAAAAGGCCTAAAAGTAGATTTTCACATATAAATCTAGGAATAAAAATATAATGAACTCTTAAATTCGAAGTTTCAATTTCAAATGTAATAATAAAACTCATTAATTACCTGCCAATGACCTTGTAACCGTGTGTGTTTCAATAAATTGAGAAAGTAGATATGAACATATACTATATTGTAACTGTACAATTCTTAAATTACATATTAATAAGCTCATTATTATACTTTTTCGATCTCCTCTTCTCCACTTGTCACAATATATTGGGCAACTTATTTTGCCCCGGCCATGATGTATAAACAAGCGCACACACACATATATATAAATATATTACACACGTATATTATATGAGACTATAAGAGCAAGTTAAATGTTCATTCCAAGCATCACATTTTTTGCGAGCTAAGAAAAGTATGAATGAGATAAACAACACTCCTATGCATATACATTATACTTAAAAGGTAAACCGATCGAATTAGAAAGTCTTTGTAGAACGAACTAGAACAATACAGTGGTGCTAAAACAACGATCAAACATCAATATAATTTCAATTATCCCAAGAAACATAACAATTACTGGACAAAGTTTGTTAGTTAATTAAGAATCTCATAGAGCTCAAGGATCGATCGAAACTTGGGCTTTCTTCTCCGGCACGCCTCCTCCATCTCTGCAGCTTCTTCCAAACTCTCCACCTCTATAAAATTACTGTCGCCGCCGCCAGTCGACACCGCCGCCGCCGCTTTGTTTCCAACTTCTTCATCATCCGCCGCCGCCGCCTTCATTGTTCTCTTTGCTGCCTTCTTGCCGTTGTTTTTCCCTCCTTAAACCACGTGTGTATACATCATATATATCGTAATATAATCCGTTGTAACAATAATAATGAAATTTTGGAATATATACTACATATATATTCAGTATACTTATATATATATATATATGCATCTATCTCTGTGTATATATATATAAGCAAAAAGGCGGTATATATACACAGGATTTAGAGATACTAGGGTTAATGTTTCAATGATATGATACAGACAATCAGACATACAGTTAATAATTTTAGGATTTTTAAAAAATGTAATAAATTGAACGAATATTTTGAATGAAATTAATAAAATTAGCGAAGAGGTTTAGATCAGACTACTACGTACGACGGCGTTTGGCGGTGGTGTTGATGGTGATCTCCGAGGGTTTGGTGGACTGATAAATCGCGGCTATGGAGCGATACTTTCTCAACTTTCGAGGCCGCCGGTAATCGGAGTCGCCGCCGCCGTTGCGGTGGTGATAGTCGGCTTCACCTTCACCGGAACTATCTCCGTTGTTGATTTCCGCGGCGGCAGAAGATATCGCAGCAATGACGACGGAGCACTTTCCTTCCCCTTCGGCGGCCAAATCGCCGTAGCCACCACCGGAACAAAGTAACTTCGCAGCTTCTTCCATGGCAGAGAGAAGGCGGGGCTGGGGCGTTTGTGTTTAAGCTAACGGCTTGGGTGGTTGGCATATATATATGGATGCGAAAATTACTAAATTAGGATACATAAATCTTTTATTGACTTTTGTATGAATCTATAAAAATATTCATAAATTTTTATAATTTTAAAAAAAAATCTAAAAAATCATAAATTTATAAATTGAATATATTCTTACCAACTTCAACTTTAATTCTTATTATTTATAATTTTTTATATATTTTTATAATAATACTAGTTTTTTACGCGCATTGCGCGATTGGGATAATGCCCAATGTTTTTTTTTTAAATAAGTATTTTAAAGTATATATAAAGGCAAGATTATATTGGAATTGTTCATGCATAGATAATTGAATGTTGAATTTGCGTATTTAAATTGGTAATTCTAAGTTTACAAATGCAAGATAATATAGTCAAGATTGATTATACTTATTGTCAATAAAATAATTATATGGGTATGGTTGAAATCAAATACAGGATATAAGGGAGAGCAAATAAAAATTAAAGCATAAAATATTAAATGAGTTAATACCAAAAATCGTCCTCGACTATAGTGGTTTTTCTCAATTTCGTCCTAAACGACTTTGGTGACCTAATATCGTCCCAGACTTTTGTGTTTCGCTCAATTTAGTCCCAGACTTTTGTATTTTTGCTCAATTTAGTCCTTCATTTGTTATTCTGTCCATTTGGTGTTAAATAAATAGACAATTCAATAATTTTAATATTGGCATCTCTTTACTCATAGACATGTGAACTGCGAAATCCCTTTTTTTTACGAATTACTCCCAGAATTACTCCTAAAACTGCGAATATAAAATTTGATTTGCAGGTCCGGGAGTAATTCTGGGTGTAATTCGTACAAGAAAGAGGAATTTCGCACTTCACAAGTTGAAAGTAAAGAGAGATCAATATTGACATTACTGAATTGTCCCTTTATTTAACACCAATTTGACGAAATAACAAATGGAGGACTAAATTGAGCGAAACACAAAAGTCTGGGACGATATTAGGTCACCAAAGTCGTTTAGGACGAAATTGAGAAAAACCACTATAGTCGAGGACGATTTTGGGTATTAACTCAATATTAAATATATACTACGGAGTAATATTGTTTGGGGAGATTCTAGCAGTAGGAGCGTTGTGCTATGAGCTCGTGCCCACCTTGCAAGGTGGGCACGGTTCCATATGCATAATTTCTATACTTTAGATTTATAATTTCTAAACTGTAGATTTATAATTTAAATACAGTAGATTCATAATTTCTATACAGTAGATTCATAATTTCTATACTGCAGATTCATAATATCTGTACTGTAGATTCATAATTTCTATACTGTAAATTCATAATTTCTAAACCGTATAGTTATCAATTATGAACATATAGTTCTCTGATTTGTGAAAATAGAGTTCAACAATTGGAATCTAAAGTATAAATTTTATGAATCTACAATATAGAAATTATGGATCTACAGTATAGAAATTATGAATTTACATTATAGAAATTATGGATGTGGAACCGTGCCCACCTTGCAAGGTGGGCACGTGCTCACAACATAATTTGCCGGATTTGTGGTTAGAGTTCTATTAAGACTTTAATATTAGAATTAGATTAATGTTGTAGTTATAATTCTATATTAGACTTTAATATTAGAATTAGACTAACGATGAATTAACGGTACTTAATGGAAAAGTTAACAGATCGAATAATTATATAATTAAGGATAATTTAGGAAATCTCAATAAAAATAAAAATCTGAACAATCTGAACTATTCATTTGATTTAATAATTTGACGGTCATTTTTTCTACCCAATGTTTATAATTAAATAAATATTTGAAAGTATATCAATACAAGATTATATATATGAGAAGTTCAACATAAGTAATTTAATGTCTCATTTGTTTATTTAAATATGTAATTCATAGTATATGAATAAAATGTAATACAGGAGATTCATTATAATTATTACTAAAAATTTTTAAATAGTAACAAAGTATTTTTGTTGCAACGGGTTCTAATATATTTAATGAATGCGCATATATACAAGATCAATGAATGACTCAATGGTACCAGTCATTTCGGTGTTTTGGTTAGTGTTCATTCAGTTCAATCATTATTGTTGAATAAATTATTATGGATAAAGAAGTTCCTAATTTAAGGAATTTTTAGATGTAGTAAAAATTTAAAAATTTTTTATTGTAATATAACCCAAATATATTGGACGATTGGTGAATATGATGTAACCCAAAGATCAAAATACTAAAGAAAGTGTTTTGGTTATTCAACAGTTTGAAGCAATAATTTGTTCCAAACCACTGAAATACAAACATTGCAATTTACAACATTTTCACTTAGCGTTTTTTAAAATAATTTCTCCAAACACATCTATATTTTTTTAAAAATTATTATTAATACAATAATAATAATAATAATAATAATAATAATAATAATAATTATTATTATTATTATTAGGGAAAATTGCACTTTTCATCCCTAAGTTATAGGGTAATTGTAGAATTCGTCCCTAAGTGTTGGTCATGCTCACTTTTTGTCCCTAAGTTATCATTGGCGTTGCACTTTTCGGCCCTGAGTTATAAGGTAATTGTAGGATTCGTCCCTAAGTGTTGGTCATGTTCACTTTTCGTCCCTAAGTTATCATTGACGTTGCGCTTTTCGTCCTTGAGTTATACTAAAATTGCAAATTTTGCCCATAATCACTACTACATAAATGGTATACTACATCACTTTTTAAATAACCGTTGTCTAATATATTGTGTTATACACTTATACTACGTCACTTAATAGACGACGGTTGTTTAAATAACTACCTATATAGTTGACATACACGGCAGTTTTTTAACCACCGTATATAGTTAACATACACGACGATTTCCAAACCGTTGTAGAAAGTGCATATTTACAACGGCAGTCACTTACACACGCGACACTTCGAAAACTGTCGTGTATGTATAAAAAAACCGCCGGTGGTTATTTAAAGTGTATGACATAAAAAAAAATTAATTAAGTTATAGACGGTTATTTAAAAACCCGTTGTCTATTAAATGACGTAGTATAACAAAATATATAAGATAGTGGTTATTTAAAAAACATCCGTCTATTAAGTGACGTAGTATACCATTTATAAAGTAGTGATTAGGGACAAAAATTGCAATTTTAGTATAACTTAGGGACGAAAAGTGCAACGCAAATGATAACTTAGGGACGCAAAGTGAGCATAAACAACACTCGGGGACAAATTCTACAATTACTCTATAACTCAGGGACGAAAAGTGCAACACCAATGATAAGTTAGGGACGAAAATTGAGCATGACCAACACTCAGGGACGAATTCTACAAGTACCCTATAGCTTAGGGACGAAAAATGCAATTTTCCCTTATTATTATTATTATTATTATTATTATTATTATTATTATATGTATACCCTTAGGTCATTTTAAATGTTAATTTAAACAGCTAATTTTTTCAAATATCTTTTTACCAACGGTTGATATAATTCGCTAATCAAATCCGCTAACGCTAACCGCTAACTGCTGATTGTCAAACAAGGACATTGCGAGGTAGTTTCTCACTTCAATTTGTTGTGTGATCTGAATACTTTCTTTGTCAACAAATCCCTCAATTAGTTAATATGATTGGCTTTATTAATTTAAATTTTTTTAAATTTTTTCATGGTATTAATAAAATACTTGGTAAATAAATATATAGCATTATTTTGTATTATAACTTTGATATTTAATTAAAAAAAATAGTGCACAAAAAAAGATAATAGACAATGTAGTGAATATAATCAATTGATGAATTCGAATGTAAAGAATTTTTACATTGGAGAAAAATAAAGACAATATACTATTGAAATTATTTCTTTTAATTAATTTATTGATAATTGTAGAATACAAATAAACAAGAAGAAGAGGAAAAACTAATATATTGTGTCTTGTGTCAACTTCAATACAAGCACTTGTATATATAGTGCTAACAAGATGATGAAAAATAAATACAAATGAGAAAACAAAGAGACACATGGAAAACCCAAGAGACACATGGGAAACTCAAGAGACATATGGAAAACCCAAGAGACACATGACTATTAATATAGATGATTAATATCATCAAATATCTCAACACCCCCCCCCCCCCCCCCCCCCCCCCCTCAAGTTGGAGCATGCGGATCTGAAATGCCCAACTTGCGAAAAAGTTATTCAAATTGCCTTTGCCCAAGAGCCTTTGTGAAGATGTCAGCTAATTGCGAATTGGTAGGAATGTAGGAAGGGAAGATCAAACCATCTTTAATTGCATCGCGAAGAAAATGACAATCCACTTCAATGTGTTTTGTGCGTTCATGAAAGACTGGATTCTTTGCAATATGAAGGGCTGACTGACTGTCACAAAATAACTTTATGGTTTTGGGATGATGAACCCCCAGACTTAACAACAAGCCCTTTAACCATTTGAGTTCACAAGTAACTGTTACCATGGATCTGTATTCTGCTTCTGCAGAAGAACGAGAAACAGTAGTTTGTTTCTTTGTTAACAAATTTTAAAATATACGGAGTAATATTAATAATATATTAACAAATATCTAAATATAGTTATTTGATTATATCGATTTAACTGATTTGATCCTCACATTTAAAAACTGTCTAATGTAGTCCTTTGATTATCATTTTTTTACTATTTTGATCCTTTGACGCATGCATGAGACAACATATTCTGAGGGATATAATGGTCGTCAAATCACTACTGAACCATTTGACTATCATTTATTTAACCAATTTGGTCTTCATATTTGACAATATGATGACCAAATTGGTTAAACAAATGATAGTCAAAGGACTAAATCAGTCAAATTGTATATAGTCGATCAATGGGTCATTTATGTAATTTACTCATAGGTAAATTAAAGTATGAGTAAATGACCATATTAATCTTATGTTCATCGGAGATTTGACGAGTTGGGCATCGGAAGATCAAATTGGTTGAA